AGGTGTGTTCGATTTGTATAATACATACGCTATCTATGCATTCATAATAATCTTTACTTCAATAAGCAACTTTGTTGCATTATTTTGCACGAAAGAAGTCAAGAATTTAACTTGTATTGTAACTTTTATCTAAAAAAGTATAATTCTTTTGAGAAATTTATCACATCTCTGAGTACAGAAGAAACAGTAGCCGGATAAATACTTACGAGCGGTAGTACGTTTTACTTTTATTCGCTGATCAACAAATTTTACAACTCTATTACGACAAACAGTAATTGCATATTGAAAATAAGAAACCTGGATGAACATTTCGTTGCCTCGATATGTGTTCGAATATATTGTCAAGTATTCTTCAGGGAAATTGAAAACAATGTAAATATCAGTTTCCCAAAAATAAAAATACCGTATGATCACATTCTTCCGCCTAATCAAGATCATCGAGATACCATTTACTCACAGGTTATTAATAATCAAAGAAATATAATTTTAGGTGAACTCTGAATCATCCAGCAGATAGAACTTCCAGATGGTCAGCCGTCCAACAATCGTGAGCACTGACCGTGCCCAACGCCATCTAACTTTGGTGGCCAGACAACGGTCTGTGCTTTCTACAACGGACAGACACGAGAATAGAAGATTAATCGCATCCGTTTGTCGATCAATAAACCGTCTAACCTTCGAAATTCGGTCTACTGAATCAACTAATCTCCCTCTCCACGTTGTTTAACCTCTCTACTATCAATTACACGGCCAAGTTACCTCGATAAATCGTCAATATTAGTCAGAGTGAACGATTTCTAACCCTTGAGTGCAAGAATGCTGGATTATACGGTCAGATAATAATCTAGAATCTACCGAGCAACGATTGTACAAACAACAATCTGGATGATCATTTTACCGATAACAAACTCCTCGCTATTTGCACTTGAATTGCTAAGTCGATTCAGCATTTAATTGTCTTATCTTTTGAAATCGGGTGGCGCTCGCCACTGCACGATCTATAGTACAGGGTGTCTGTTTTATCTCAATACAGCGAAATATCTTTTAAGGAAATGATGTTAGGGAAAGTTGTTTAGTATGTTGGGGGACATTATGTGGTACAAATATTTTTTTGTACCGGGTCTGGTGGGAGAGATTTCAAAGTCAGTTTCATTTTTTTAAATGGAATGCTATATTTTTTTATACGTAATATGATAGTGTATGTTAAGACGAGTCCAACGAGGTGCGAATAAAGTCATTTCCTTTGATAAAACAGACATGGTGGTTCGGCTCCCGATTTTTCGCAATTTTACATTCGATTGTGTACGTACATATATGTACACATTATTCGCAAATACACATACCGTGAAACTGTAGCTGTGTAGCTCGCAGAGACACGCTTCTCGCTTGATTTTCCTCCCAAGCTGAGCTGTCCGTTGTGTACTTGAATTCGGTGCACTAGCTTCTTGTATGCAGCGGCACTTAATTCACACGAACGAATATGCTAAGTACGTAAATTGATTGGAAATCCGCGTATAATCGAAAACGCGTTGTTCGAGCGAGCACTGTATTCCCTACAAGACTATAATCGCACAGTATAAGCGACGTTCACCGAGGCACTCGTTCGACTGTCTCGTAAACACCGACTGAGGACGAGTCGTCCTGCCCGATTTCTGCTCGCTGTACGCTCGCAACTGTTCTGGGAAAAATTCTAGGCCTTAACTTCTTAGAACTCGTGAAATTTTTTGCAAGCCAAACATAAGAAACGCGAGCCTAGGTCGCTGTACGTACATCGAGCCAAACATAAGCTAGCTGTCTGTTCGCGCACAGAAAAGAGTTAGCGGCAAAAGAATTTTCTGATTTTATATTACTTTTATTGGCAAAACCGAGAACAAACGTCACGCACGTGCTCTTAATACAATACAATACGCCATACTTTTTTTCGCTCGACGCATGCGCGATCGCCGCTCCCAACGCCGCTCGGCGGACGCACGCCGATCGCGGTAAAAAGACGCGCCCTTTTTAAATTCAAACCGTTACACTGTCCTTTTGAGAGTAAAATTATCGCGAGTTGCTCTCGAGAGTATCTCTCGCGTCTGAAAGTGACTGTTTGAGAGCATCGCTCAACTCTCTGAGAGTTACGACTCGAATAAACAGTTGCTTTGCAAACAACAAGCAGTTTCGTATTCTTGACAGAACTCTCGTGCGAGTAAAAAATGTCGGGAAGAAAAATTAGTGGAGAAATGAAATCACCGAATTAATCACTCTCTATGAAGAAAAATCAGTGTTGTGGAATACGAAAGATAAAGTATAAAGAAGTGATTTTTATATGTTTTTTAAATGACTTTGTTCGCACCTCGTTGGACTCGTCGTAACATACACTATCATATTATGTATAAAAAAAATATAGCATTCCATTAATAAAAATGAAACTGTCTTTGAAATCTCCCCCACCAGATCCGGTACAAAAAAATATTTGTACCACATAATGTCCCCCTCCGTACCAAACAACTTTTGTTAAAACATTTTTTTCCTAACATCACTTCCTTAAAAGATATTTCGCTGTATT